CACTTAAGAGGCCGCAGAGAGAATCACGTGAATCCGCTGCCCTGTGTTTAGGCGCCCCGAGAGACCACCTCCTAGATCTTCATCCACGCCTCTCTTCCCTTCCTCCTTCCTTCTTCCCTTTTTTCTGCTGTTATTTCTGCTTCTTTTCGTACTCTTCACCTTCTTCTTTTCTTGCTTTACTTCTTCCATAATCTTCTTCTCTTTCTTTTTTTCTCTTTCTCCTGCTCTTCCCACTTTTTCCCCTTCGTTTCCCTTTCTCATTCTTCCCCTTTTCTTAATCTTACACTTTCTCCTCCTTTCCCCCTTTCTTTTTCTCGTACTTGCCCCTCATCCTCTCTCTTATTGTTTTATAATATTTTTTTTTCTCGATTCCTCCTATTCATCTTTCTTTACCTCCACTTACACCTCTTTATTCTCCACCACCTCTTCCTCCACCAACCCCCCCCCCCAGCGACCACAACAGTGCCACACCAACCGCCAGAGGCACTCCGGGGCCGTGGCGTGCCGAGGCGCTTCCCGCTGCCACTTGGAGTGACCATCATCCCAAACCTTAACATCATTCTCAGTGCCACTGTGACACGACCACTGCAATTACCCGTGGAACTGTGGCACTCCCACCCCTTGGCACTACTCAGACGCCGGGAGTCAGAATCACAAATGCTATCGCAAGCTAAGAAGTTAATTAATTTACACGGAAGAAAGAGAAAGAAAGAGAGAGAGAGGAAAAGAGAGGAAAAAGAGAAAAGAGAGAGAGAGAAAGAGAGAAAAGAGAGAGAGAGAAAGAGAGAGAGAGAGAGAGAGAGAGAGAGAGAGAGAGAGAGAGGAGAGAGAGAGAGAGAGAGAGAGAGGAGAAGAGAGAAGAGAAAAATGAAAGAAAAAAAATATAATAATGGTGTTATCTATGATTAGTAATATCACAACAAATCAACAAAAGAAAAAGAAAAAAAAAAACAAGAAAATAAATTAAAAACCCAAACACAGCTTCTCCACAAACAACAAAACAAAATCAAACAAAATAATCAACAACAACAACAAGAAAAGTAATAATGCCAAAACAACGAATAAATAGAAAATAAGCAAAAGCCGAGCCCGCGCCGTCAGCCTCAACCGCCATTAACACGAGAGCCAACAACCACCACACAGGACGACAAAAGGACCTTTAAATTGTTGTGGAGAGTGAGTGACCATCCTCATAACCCTCTTCTTCCTCCCTCCCTCCCTCCCCACCTCTCTCATCTCCCTCCCTCCCTCCCTCCCTCACCTCTCTCGTCTCCCTCCCTCCCTTCTCTCTCTCCCCCTCCTTCCCTCCCTCCGCACCTCTCCCATCCCCTCCTTCCCTCCCTCCTCCTCTGCCATGCTTCTATCTCCTCCTCCTCCTCCCTCCCTCCTTCCATCCTCTCCTTCTCTCCCCTCCTCCTCCACCCTTTCCCACCCCCTCCCACCCACCATCCCACCCTCCCACCCACCACCCCCCAACCCCACACCCCTCCTTCCTAAACCTCTCCACCCACCCACATCCACCCCACCCCCTCCCAACCCCCTTTCCAGCACACCCCCACCCCACCCCCGCCCACCCCGCCCATCCATCACCCCCTGTCAGGTCCTTCGAGCCGCAGATAGAGAACCAACAGATAAACAACACCGGTTCTAAACCGCTCCTTCCTCGCCGGCGAGCCTTGGCCATGGCCCCCGCGCCGACAGGCCCGAGGGGGAGAGGGGGAGTGAGGAGGGAGAGAGGGAGGGAGGAGGGAGGAGGGATGGAGAGAGAGAGAGAGAGAGGGATGGAGAGGATGAGAGGGAGAGAGGAGAGAGAAGAGGAGAGAGAGAAGAGAGAGAGAGAGAGAGAGAGAGAGAGAGAGAGAGAGAGAGAGAGAGAGAAGAGAGAGAGAAGAAGAGAGAGAGAAGGACGGGGAGGAGAGAGAGAGAGAGAGAGAGAGAGAGGAGAAGAGAGAGGAGAGAGAGAAGAGAGAGGAGGAGAGAGAGGAGAGATGAGGAGAGGAGAAGAGGAGAGAGAGAGGAGAGAGAGAGAGAGAGAGAGACTCGCACTCGACGGGGCCTCCGAAGGGCTCGACGCCGCGTCGCGGCCACACGCGGAGATCGAGCGTCGCTGTCCGATCAAGTCGTTACAGAAAATCCGGGAGTGAACAAGCCTGACCTCCCCTCCCCCCCTCCCCCCCTCCCCTCCCCCTCCCCCTCAACCCAACCCGACCCAACTCCCATCCGCAGATCCCCCCCCCCCCCTCACCCCCCTTCCCCTTCCCCTCCACCTCACATGCCCCACCCGACCCAACTCTCCCATCCGCAGATCACCCCCTCCCCCTCAACCTCCCCTTCCCCCCCTTCCCTCCACCTCACCCCAACCGACCCCACTCTCTCCCCAGTTTCCCTCCCCCTCCACCTCCCCTTCCCCTTCCCCTCCAACCTCACCCCCCCGAACCCCAACTCTCCCCCCATCCGCAGAACCCCCCTCCCTCCCCTCCCCCTCCCTTCCCCTCCCCCTTCCCCACCTCACCTCGCCCCCAACCCCCCCGACACCAACTCTCCCCATCCGCAGAACCCCCTTCCCTCAACCCTCCCCCCCGCCTCCCCCATCAGCTAAACCTCCTGCCTGTCTTACTTTGCTCGTCCAATTTTGCTGAGGTTCCTTTTGTCTTATCATTATTATCTTTTTTTTTGAGAGGAAAGAATAAAACGAAGGGTACAAGAAAAAAATAAAAAAACAAGGAAAAATAAAATTACAAAAATAATAATTATAACAAAAGGAAGGAAAAAAAAATACCTGATAAAGAGAAAGAAAGGAAAAAAATAGAGGAAGGTCAAAGTGCAGAAAGAATATCAGAAACCTGAGACGGGACGAAGGAGGAATACGAAAATAAAAAAGTTTTCAGAGATGACAGCGAGAAGAGGAAAAATAAGGTGGAAAAGCAGACAAAGTCAAAAGAAAAAAAGACGAAAGGGAGACCAAGACCACGAAAGAGGAGGAATGGAGGAAGAGGGGGAGAGGGAGAAAGAAAGGAGGAGGGAGAGGGAAGTGGGAGGTGAGGAAGAAGGGAGGGAGGAGGAGGGAGGGGAGGAAGGGAGGAGGGAGGGGAGGGAGGGAAGGGAGGGAGGGAGGAAGGAAGGAAGGAGAAGAAGAAGAAGGGCCATACGGAAGGGAGGGGGGGGAGAGGAGGCATAGAAAGGGGTAGAGAAGGCCTAGGGGGTAGAGGGAAAGGAGGGAGGGGAGAGGAGGGAGCAGGAGGGGGAGGGGGGCGCAGAGGAAGGGGAGGGGAAAAAGGCGACTCCGGGACCACCAGCAAAACCCGGGCATGACTGGAGAATGCGCAGGCAGATGCGCGCGGCATGCGGGGAATGTGACGCTCAACTCCGCTCTTGCAATTTATTCGACGTCGCCGCATTTTCTCGTGCCTGCGACCTGACTAGCGGAACGCGAGGGTGGCGAGAGGAGGGAGAGGGGGAAGGGAGGAGAGGAGAAGGGAAGGGAGGGGAAAGGAGGGAAGGGAGGGGGAGGGAGGAGGGAGGAGAGAGGAAGGGGAGAAGAAGGAGAGGGGAAGGAAGGGGAAGGGAGGGGAAAGGAGGGGAAGGGAGGGAGAGGTGAGAGGGGAGGGGGAGGAAGGGGGTAAGGACGTTAACGTAGTGCCTTCGTCTCTGGCTCTCGAGGACTCGAAATGGCTCGGGAAATTGGATCCATGTGTGTGTAAGCGCGTGCGTGTGTGATGGCATCTTAATTGCCTGGCACTACAATGAGATAAAGGGAAGGCGGGGGGGGGGGGGGGGGCACGTGGCACGGATGGGCACGTGACGACGAAGACAATAATGACGACGAGGACGACCCCATCAGCGTGACGGCGCGTCCTCCCCCTCACTCGCCCTCCCTCTGCAACGGACGGGGGGGGGGAGGGGGGGGGAGGGGCGCCGGCCTTATTTTACCCTCCGCGGGACAGCCGTACTAATCGAATTGTTCTTCGAAGATGTAAATAACAATTAGGCTTTTCCCTCGTGATCCTCCTGCGACGGGCGCGGCGCCGTGATCTCCTTCGGCTCATCTCGAAGAGCACCTCTTCGCGAGAGCCTTCATGGAGGACTTCCCTGATCCTTCCCTCCGCCCCCTCCCTCCCCCCCGCAACTCGACACGCCCCCGCCGGACCACCGCGACGACACGGGGGCGCCCCTGCAGCCCCCAGAACCACGCGTCACGAAGCCGAGGTCCTCTCAGGAACACCCAGGAGGAGGGGATCTCGCGCCTCCTCGCCTCCTGCCTCTACCTGCCTCCTCTTGTCTCCTCTCGCCTTTCCTCCTTCCCTCCTCTCCCCCCCCTTCCTCCCCCCCCTCCCTCCCTTCCTCCTTCCTCCTACCCTTCCCTGCACCCTCCGCCTTCCCTCCCTCCCGCCCCCTCTCCCCTCATCGGCCCTGGTGGTCCTTCCCGTAAGGCGCAGCGCTGAAGGTCACCGTAACAAGTCCTCCTCCTCATCCGCCTTCCCGGCCGTTGCCTTAAGCAGCCTCTCTCGCTGACCTTCCCGACCTTTCCGGGAGGCGATGATCTACACGTCGACATGCATAAGGGCGGCGGGAGGCGAGGGGGCGAGGGGCAGGCGGGCGGCGAGGGCGGGCGGCGGAGAGGGGGCCATCCGAGCCACGGGCTAAATGGGCTGACCAAAAACGGAGGAGACGCATTTCCATTCCCTCGTTCATTTCTGTCGCTTTCTCTTATTCTTCTTTTCTCTTTCCATTCCCCTTCCCTTCTTCCCCTCCTTCCCCTTCCTCTTCTCCTTCCTCTCCCTCCTCCTTCCCCTCCTCCCCTCCTCCTCCTCCTCTTCCTCCTCCCTTCCTTCCTCCCTGTCCTCCTCCTCCTCCTCTTCCCCCTTCCCCTTCCTCTTTCCTCTCCTCCCCTCCCTCCCCTCCCCCTCCTCCCCTTTCCTCCCTCCCTCCTCCTCCCTCCCCTCCCTCCCCCCACCCAACCTCCCCTCACCCCAACACCCCGAAACACCCAGCCAACGTACCTTCTCCCCGGGGCCCGACGAAGCCTCGTGGTCTATCGGCAGTCTATCGGGCAGAATCATTTCGAAGTCGATGCACTGCTGACCGGAGCCGAAGCTGAGCCAGCGGGGGGAGGAGAAGGTCGCCTTCTGGCACGCCGACTGGACGGTGCATCTGCGGAAGAGAAGGGAGGAAAAGGACGAATTAGAATCCTTCATTGACGAAAATGCGGAAGAGAGGAGAGGAAAAGGACGAATTAGAATCCTTCATTGACGAAAATGCGGAAGAGAGGAGAGGAGAGGGACGAATTAGAATCCTTCATTGACAAAATGCGGAAGGAGAGGAGAGGAAAAGACGAATTAGAATCCTTCATTGACGAAAATGGCGGCAATTACAAAATGGCTGCCTTATGTCTGTGTAGGAGAAAGGAGAAGAGAGATAGAGAGGACAAAATGGCTGCCCTGTAGAGATATACATAAAATACATTAACAAAATGGCTGCCTTATGTCTGTAGGGAAGGAGAGAGAGAGAAAATAAATAAATTAACAAAATGGCTACCTTATATCTAAAAGGAAAGGAAAAGAGAGAGAATCTTTTTTTAATTGTTTATAAAATGACAGAAGGGGAAGAAGAAAAAATAAATAAATACAAATAAAAAATAATAAATAAAGGAAATCACATAATTCGCAACAACAAAGAACTAGCGGCGAAAAAAAAAGATCGTAATTACCTCGGAGAAATAATAAATAATTTATCCACGTACGCGCCCTGACCAAACTAAAAGACACAAAAATGAGGAAGAGAGAGAGAGAAAAAAATCGCCCACCCTCATTCCCCTTCAAAAATGAGCGCCACCAGCCACCCCCCCCCAAAAAAAAAAATAATAATAAATAAATAATAAATAAATAAAATAAAACAAAATAAATAAATAAAATAAAATTAAAACAAAAATAAAATAAAATCCAGCCGCCACCTTTTGACGCGCCCTCCATCAGAGGGTCGTGCCCACCCCCAGCAGCTCCCGACGGCCGCCCGCCCCTTCCGCCACCATCTGCCAACGCTCTGGAGGCGCTTCGTCCCCCGTCCGCGCCTCCCGCCATTCACTTCCCCGTCGCCGTCGTGTCGGGGTCGTGCCGGGTCGTCCACCGCCTTCCCTCCCCGAATGATGGGGTCGTCTTTGAAAGGGGGGTCGTCTTAAGTGGGTCGTTTTGCGGGGTCGGTCCTAGTGATGGAGGAGGTCGTCTACCACTGCATCGCTTCGGGAGGGTCGTCCTAACGAAGTCGTCTCAACCGAGTCGTCTCCGCCGGGTCGTCTTTGTGCAGCAGACGGCGGGGGTCACGCTGCTCGCCTCCCCCGGAACAACGACGCGGACGGGATGAGGTCGTCGGGCCACCTCGCCGCGGGTGAACAAGGTCGCCAAGAGGTCGTCTCCAGGTGTGACTGGCCATGTCGGTCGTGGGGGAAGGGGGGAAGGAGGAGAAGGGGGAAGGGGGGAAGGAGGAAGAGGGGGGTGTTGAGGGGGAAGGGGGGAGAGGGGGGGTGGAAGGGGAAGGAGGAAGCGGAAGAGGGGTGTTGGGGGAAGGAGGAGGGGTGTTGGGGGGAAGGGGGGAAGGGGGAAGAGGGGGGTTGGCGGAGAGAGAAGTGGTGTTGATGGAGGGGGAGAGGGGAGGAGGGAAGGGGTGTCTGTGGAAGGGAGAAGGGGGGGGGGCTCAGTGGAGGGAGGGACGTACTTCCCTGACAATAAAATGACAACAGCAAGCGAGAGGCAACAAAGGTGGTAATATTAGGAAGCTACAAACCGCACCCTTCCTCCTTCGTTCCTCCCTCCACCGCTCCCAACCCCCGATGCCCTGATCTTTCCTCTTCCTCCCCCCTCTCCTCCTCCTCTCTCCCTCACCCCCCTCCCCTCTCCCCCTCCCCCCGTTCCCCCCTCCCCTCTCTCCTCTCCTCTCCTCCTCCCCTTCCCTCTTCGTCCTCCCCCTCTTCCCTCGGCCCCGTCCCCTCCCTCCTCCTCTGTCTTGTCCTCCCCTCTCCCTCTCCCCCCGCCACCCCGGGCGTAACCACTCCTAAGGTCAACAGTGAGTGTCTGGCGCGATCGCTATCAAGCAGCTACAGAGATAACAATATGATACACCTGCGGAGGGAGAGGGAGGGAGGGGGGAGGAGGAGGAGAGGAGGAGGAGAGGGAGGAGGAGGAACGAGGAGGAGAGGGAGGAGGAGGGGAGGGAGAAAAGAAGTTGGTGAGGGACGGAGGAGAAGGACGGGGAGAAAGAAGGACGGGGAGAAAGATGGGGGGAGGACGGGGAGAGGGAAAGGAGGAGAAAGATGAGAATGGGAAAGTAAAGAAGTTCGAGGAAGGGGGATAGGGAGAAAGAGGGGAGGGAAAGAAGGTGGAAAGAGAAAAAAAAGAGAAGGACAGGGAGAGGAGAAGGAAAAGGGAAGGGAAAGAGAAAGGAAGAAAGAGACAGAAAAAATAGGTGAGAGGAAGTAATGGATAAAGGAAAGGATGAAGACAGAGAGAAAGGAGGAGGGGAATGAAAATGCACGGAAAGAGATAGGAGAACCACCCAGCTAAAACAACAAAAATATCTAAAAAAAAAAAAAAAAAAAAAAAAAAAAACAGCACGCAGACAACAAACACACGAAAGAAAAAAACACAAACACCAGCTCATCAGACACAAACAACCAAACAACCAAACATCCTGCCATCCTTTGCGCTCTATAATCTTTCACTTTAAGGACACCCCTCCTGACCTATGCCACCCCCCCCCCCCAACCCCACCCCCCCCACCCTTGCAATATGTGGCGTGGCAGTAATGACGGCCCCATAGGCTTTAATGCTGCGATTTGGTCTAATGACCTAATCTTCCCTAATTAAAAGGGAAGGTTCAGTTCTTGCCCTCTCCCTCCCCCCTCTTCTTCTTCTTTATTATTATTAATTATATATTATCATATCATTTATCATCATTATCATCATCATATCATCATCATCATCATCATCATCAGTATTATTATTGTTGTTGTTATTATTATTCTGTTTTCCATATTTTCTTGTCCATTTTAGATTTTTACCTCCTCACTTTCTCCTATCCTTCCTCGTACTTCGTATCCCCCTTTCCCCTTCCTTTCCCCTCATCCATACGTTTCTTCTCTTCCCCTCTCCCTCAACCCTTTCCCCTCACACACCTCCCCCATCCCTCCCCCTATTCTTTCCCTTTCCACTCCTCCCTCCCAATCCCTTTTCCTTCCTTCCCTCCCTCCCTCACCCCACCCACGTCCTATCCTCTCACCCTCCCTCCCATGCCCTCCCATCACCCCACGCCCTTCCCCTTCCTTCCCTCCCCCCACACCCTCCCTCCCACGCCTTTCCCCCTCCTTCCCTCTCCTCCCTCCTCCCCTCCCCCACACCCTCCCCCCTCACCCCCACCCACGCCCTCTTCCTCCCTCCCCTCCCTCCCACGCCCCCCATGCCCTTCCACTCCTCCCACCCACGCCCTCCCCTCCCACCCACTTCCCCTCCTTCCCTCCCCCCTCCCACCCACGCCCTCCGACAGGTACAGATGGCGGGGACAAATTAGCCCCCACGTACCACTTAGGAAAACAGGGATTGCGTTTCGACAGCGCCCATTACTCCTCGGTCAGTCTTTGTCCCCCCTTGAGGCGCCCGTGTCTCGACAGATATTTTTTCTCCCTCCTCCTCCTCCTCTCCTCCCTTCTTTTTTTCTTCTCACTCTGCTTCGCTTGCCAAGGAGTGAGTGGACTGTTGATCTCTGGTCTGTCTTCTCTGTCTGTCTGTCTTTCTGTCTCTCTCTCTCTCTCTCTCTCTCTCTCTCTCTCTCTCTCTCTCTCTCTCTCTCTCTCTCTCTCTCTCTCTCTCTCTCTCTCTCTCTCTCTCACTTCTCACTCTCACTCTCACTCTCAACTCTCACTCTCACTCTCACTCTCACTCTCACTCTCACTCTCACTTTTATCTATCTATCTATCTTTTATAAAAACACTCACATTCACACTCACGATCACACTAAGTCACTCACTGACTGACTCACTCAATCGCTTATCCACTTACTTATTCTTTCGTCTATACCAATATATATTTCTATCTCTATCTCTAAATCTCACTAATCATAATGATATACTCCTTCTTCTTTTTGTATTTTTCTTTTTCTTTTTTTTTTTCTCAGCAACGAAGAACAAAGAAAAACGAAAACAAAGGAAAAAAAAGAGAATAAAACAAAGCAAGAAATTTAACAGAATAACAAAAAAAAAAAAAAAAAATAAAACCACAAAATACACAAGCCCTTTCATCAAACACGTAAAACAATCAACGCACTCTTCAATTACAAAAAAAAAAAAAAAAAAAAAAAAAATCACTTTGAACACAAAACAACGGACACCTGCCATAACGACCCCCCTCCTCTTCCCTTTCCCCCCTTTCCCCCTACCCCACCCCACCCTTGTCACTCCCCCACCCCCCACGTGTCTTGTCACTCCCCCCACCCCCCACGTGTCTTGTCACTCCCCCCCCCCCCCATCCCCCGATAGCAGGCGTGTGCGTGGCCGCGGGCTGCAAACTCATCTCCGTGCAGAATATGCAAGATTGCACATCCAACGTCATATCCTGCCCTAGATTAAGCTTCATGGGGGTAGGGGGTCGGGGTGGGGGAGAAGAAGGGAGGGGGAGATATGGGGTAGAGGGGGGGGTGATGAAGTAGCTATGGGGAAGGAGGGGAGGGGGAGAGAGGGGAAGGGGGAAGGAGGAAGGGGAGAGAAGGGGGAGGGGGAAGAGGGGGAGGAGAAAGAACTAGGGAGGATAATCATGAGGGAGAAGATGAAGAAGCAATGAGGAGAAAGAGCGAAGAATCAATAGGAAAGAAAAGGGGAGAAATAATCGAGGGGGAAGCAAAAGCGCCGCAAGGGAGGGGGGAGGGGGGAGGAGAGAGAGAGAGAGAGAGAGAGAGAGAGGAGAGAGAGAGAAGAGAGGAGAGAGGAGAGAGAAGAGAGAGAGAGAGAGAGAGAGAGAAGAGAGAGAGAGAGAGAGAGAGAGAGAGAGAGAGAGAGAGAGAGAGAGAGAGAGAGAGACAGAGAGAGAGAGAGAGACAGAGAAAGAAAGAAAGAAAGAAAGAAAGAAAGAGCGAGAGCGTAGAAAAGAGCCGAGGGAGAGAGGGGAGAGGGG